TACTTGTACATACCATGGTCTCTTAAATGTTTAAATTGAAATAATTTTATAGTTTTGCCCCACAAGTTTTTTTTTGTTTCGATGCATTGCAGGCGTGTGCTGACTCAGTTTAGCTTAAAGTTTAAAGTTTAGTTAAAAACAAAGGCACGGGTAAGTTTTTCTCCTTGCCTTTGTTTTAAACTAAACTTTAAGCTAAACTGAGGCGACACACGCCTGCAACACATAGAAATTGTAAAAGCCTTGTGGGGAAAATATAAAAATAATTAAGTATAAACATTTAAGAGACACAAATGCATGTAGAAGTAAAAGGAAAAACAAAAAAATATATGTATTTTAAAAAAACATTCAAATTTAAATTACGTGTTAAAATATATCGACTAATTTATACTAACCTGGAAAAATAAATATTAGAGTCATTTCAAACAAAAAACATGAGATAAAGTTCTCCTTTGTTATTTTAATTGGTGCATTTCAAATGTATTTATTTAGTGGTTCATTTATATTTTTCTGCTTTTATTTTTAATTATGTCAGTTTCGGTCCTCCGTACTGCAGAAGCCTGATAATCATCCATTCATTTAAATCAGGTGTGTTTGAGCAGAGAAGCAAGTAAAACATGCAGGGCTGCGGCCCTCCAGGACCAGGACTGCCCACCCCTGGTGTATACATTTAACCAGTCACACGTTTAAACACTTGTAATTTAAAAAACGTTTGCACAGTACATTCTCTTTACCAATTTCCCATGCATTTTTTTTACAGTAAATAGATAAAATACTCTCAAATGCACAGAATGTGAGAGAATCCAGCCATCATTTGTGAGTTGAAAGACTTTTTTTCTGCAAGATTGTTCAAATTTAAAAAAAGAAAAAGACTTCAYTTGGTTTTATTCATGCAGGACTTTTCTATTTGTCTCATTAGCGCCTCTAGTGTTTGGACATGGAACAGCAACCACCATCATTGCTCTTGGGCAAAGGGCAGATGAGTGACAGGACAGGGGCACTTCAGGGGGCCAATCAAAGTTAAGCAGGGGCCAATGCCCCTGTGGCCCCGCCCCTAGAACCGTCCCTGCAGTCATTTAATTCAACAGTGACCTGAAGTTAAAAAAACAAACAAAAACAGCTTCACTTAGTAAATATTAACCTAAAGTTTAGTGGTGGTAGCTCAGACTGATCCTCTCTGTTAGCAAAATATCTCTAAGAATTTAGCTGAACTCTCAGAAAATACACATTTACTAATTAAAGTTCTTTAACTTTGTCTCTGATCTGTTTACAGAAAATAAAATCAGTTTTTTTTTGTATTTTATTAAATAAACAGAATTTATCACAGCTGATCAGAAGCAGTGTAGAGCTTTATTTAGCTTTCTGTACAGTATTTACAGTATGATACAGAAACATTACAGGCAGTCAGGATTGCACGGTTCAGGGTCGGGCCTCGGTGGTCCGGTACCGGGGTCAGGAGTACAAAAGATGCAGGTCTTTGGTTTTATTGGCACAAAGTGGAGTCCYGAGCGAGGAGAAACTGGAGCTGAATTCATTCGATCAAATTCAGCTCATCTCCTTTTTTCCTCGAACAGAGGAGGCAGCAGCACGGCGAGGGACAGAACGCAGAGACGATGAAGATCAGGGGAAGAGAGGTAGAAGAGGGGAGGAGGAGGAGGAGGAGGTGAACGCAGCTGAGTCGCCCAGGTGAGGAGGTGCTGTAATGATTAGATCACAGATACTCAGAAAAATAACTAAACGCAGCGAAAGCAAGGCCTGCAGCTAGAAACAGCCTCTTCATCAGGGAGGAGCAGGAGGAGGAGGAGCAGGAGGAGGAGGAGGAGCAGGAGGAGTAGTTTAAGAACTAAACTACAGATCTGAGCTAAAATCTCCTCCTTGTTTTGTTTTTTCCTCGTCTCTCTGACAGCAACAGGTCTGGATCCTCCTCAGCTCCTCCTCGGATGATGTCATCTCCTGTCCGGGTTAAGATGCTTCCATCTTGTGGAGACGCTGAACAGGAGCCGAGGAGGAGCAGAGGAGGAGCTGAGGAGGAGAAGAGGAGGAGCTGAGGCATCAGGAGCAACATTAATGAGGCTGTTTTTCCTCCTAAACTGGTGAAACATCAGGATGTGTTGAAGCAGATCTCTGATCAGAGACGAGCTGCAGCGACACGACGCAGACACATCAGCCGAAGGAAACGTCGAGCTGCGGTTGAACTTTTAGCTACGAGACAAAAACAGACTGTTGGTCCTTGTTTGTGTCCAGATTTTGGGCAGAAATCTGAAGGAAACTCCTAACGTGAAAAAAGGGATTTGTGTTTGTGTCTGCAGAGAGCAGCCGAACCTTCTGTGCAAAGGTTAGCAGTTAGCTCACCTGCTGCAGGCCGCGCGATTTCCTGAACCTAACATGAAACTGGGTTAAAATCTGAGCAACAGTGAAGCTTCTGCAGAACATGAAGAGGTAACTGAAACACTGAACAGGTGCGCTGCGGCAGAGAAACAAGTGAAACCTGCCGGACGCTGCGGCGCAGCGCCTCAACCTCCGACAAGCTGCAAACATCTGATAAGATCAGAGGATCAATCTCCACTAAACTCACTGATACAGCAGGAAAACAAGGAGCTGTGATGTTATCTGACATCATCTCAAGTACGAGTGTGTGTCTGTGTTTGTGTCTGTGTTTGTGTCTGTGTGTGTGTCTGAGTGAGAAACAGGAAGGTGAAGAAGATGAAAAAGTCGTATTATTCCCTGACAGAGGGGAAAGAAGGATGAGGATGTTCAGGATTCGCTCGTAACACTTCCTGCTGACGCCTGATTCAGCAGTCAGGAGGTGAGGTGAGGTGTGTGTGTGTGTGTGTGTGTGGGGGGGGTCTGAGGCTGGCCGAGGCCGACAGGAAGTGAGGGATAAATCATGGATGGGTGGACGGAGAGCGGGGGAGGGGCTCCCCGCCGACAGTCAAGCTGCTTGTCGGTGGACTCGCTTCGGCCTCTCAGAGTCCGGCGGAGCGGCTCGCCTCACAGCTTCAGGATGCTGGGACGTCTGAGGCGCCGCGCCGCGCCGCGCCGGGAGCTAACGCTGCAGTCGTTCAGACGCTCGCTTCATTTCTGCTCTTCTCCTCTGAAGGGACGAGTCAGTAATCCTCCTCTTCCACGTAGGTGGAAGGAAACCAGCCGGTCTGATGGAGAAACAGGCGGAACGAAGGAATCAGCTTAAACATCGACAGAAGCTAACTGTTAGCAACAGGAGCTAACAGTTAGCAACAGGAGCTAACAGTTAGCAGCAGGAGCTAACAGTTAGCAACAGGAGCTAACAGTGTTTGATATTAAAAGTCTACAAAATATAAAAAACTTTATGTCAAAACACACAGGTCAGGGTTCCTACAGTTTAAAGCAAGTTAAATTTAAGACCTTTTAATGCCAAGTGAAATTAAATTTAAGACCAATTTCATAATAAACACAAAGGACGAAAAATAAAAACTGGCAGAAACTCATGAACCAAAGTATTTTTTGTTTAAATATTAAAATATTGCTAATAGATCAATTGTTTTATCAATTTCTAACTATAGCAAAAACATTCTTAGCAGTCAGTTTTATCCTCTAACAACCTAAAATTGCAGTTTTAGGACCCACAGTGGGGTCTTTACCTCAATGTGCTGTAGATGAAACCTTAAAGTGACATCAACTTTTTTTGTAAGAAAAGTGAAGCATTTTTGGAAAGACAACATTATTAACATATTAAAAAACAAATTTCACGTCGCTCACATGAACAGTTGTTGAGATATTTGCATGTGAAGTAACAGGAAG